GGTAAAAAAAAAACACAAAAAACAGGCTGGTAACAACCGTTGCAGTATAGTTTTTCTGTATTAGTAGTCAGGTCAAGTCCGAGTCGAAAGCCGAGGACCTTGATCTGACTTCCAGTGCAGAAAAAAACTATACGTCTGGATGTTACCATCCCGTTTATTTTGTTACTTTTGTTTTTTACATGACTTGTACGACGTTTTGATAAGAAAGTAATACATTTTGCATTTAAGACGATTGCATAATTACAAAGATTAAACACTAAAAATGTGCATACCGGTTTATATACCACGATGTTTGGAGATATTTAGTATTTAATAGATTAGGGATTTTGCTTTAACACTAGCACTTCTCAATTCTATCAGCTGTGTGCGAGTAAAATTATTGCTTGTTCCTTTGATACATATCAGTGAAGTAGGAGTAGATTGAAAGGTTGAATAAAAAAAAAGGTGGAGGGAGGGGGGGGCTTCTTAAAGTGACAAGCAAAAAAAAAAAGATCTTTAATCTATATTTTCTATCATAAGTTTCTAATAGTCTAGAAATAAGTTAATGTCCTCTTTAATAGCCACTTTATATTTTAGTAACAAAATAAATTGCCAAACAGGGTGGGGGTCTTATAGTGTTGCCCCTCACCTTTGCAAGTGTGTAATTCAGGTATGGTCCCCTTTCCCGGCTCCTACGTCCCTGTATTTATACATACCCTTCCACATCAAGAAAAAATACACACATACGTACAAACTAAGCCAAACAAAGAAATGTGCTTTGCCCCCTTCATCCTCCATTTTGAATGGGCTCATACCTCCCCCCAAAAAAAAACCAAAAAACACAAAAAACAAAATAAAAAACAAAAATATGAATAACAGATTTAAGACATTTAAAAATTCAACGACGTATGCAAATGAAATAAGAAAGAGTAATCAGACAAACGTAAATACAACATGGATAGATATTGTCAAAATCAATAAAATAAAGAACAACATATATAAATAAAATATTTCTCTTTTTTATAGGAAATAACATGTAATGAAAAATAAATTATGTTGCCTTGTTTTAAATTTTTTGATCCACTTATCTTTGAAATCATTTTTTGTTTTGTTTAATTTCATGCTCATTACAGTAATGTGATATTCGAGTATCACGTGACACCATATTTTTTTCATTTTCCATCCCTATATTCAAAATAGGTGGACGTTTACTGACGTTGAGACTGATTTTGTGCTATCACCAATCGACCGACGCAAAGTGTTTGAACATGAAGAGAAAATGGGAAATCCTATTTAGACGATTTAAAAGATTAATCTTAACTGCTAAGCAAACCCACGAGAGGTTTGTACATGGAAACATTTTATGGTTGCAGTTACTCTTGCAGTCAGTAACTTCGTAAACAATTTATTTAATCTTAGCTTTTTTGGGACATAGTTATCTTTTTTTATACTTACATGTATAACTTTCTTATATATTATATTTATAAAACAAGGCGTACGATAAAGTGTCTAAGAACTCGCTGAATGCACGAGTGACTCTATTCATAAAATTATCCGTGTAATACGGCGTTCACATAGTGCCGATTATGGCTCCCGTTTGAGATCAGACCGCGCTAAGACACGAAAAGTGAAAAAGTCGGATTACTATCCTCAATGATCCGGAATGTCCTATCATTGTCTGATTCCTATAGATCGGGAATGGTCCGGAGAGGTCGGCCAATCAATGTGCTTTCTGGACGGTCTCCTGTGGAACGAGCATGATCTGGAGAAATTTGTCATTGCTGTTTTTTTGCCGATTGAGTCCAGATTGCATCCAGATCTTGGCGAATAAGGACCGGAACAGTTCCGTTATTAATACTAAATTCGGCAATAATACCCACGTCGGAGTCCCGACAATTACAAAACACGATACGACAGAGTCCAGACAAAGCCGTTTGCAATACGGTACAGCAGACTGTGATAGGATTGCGTTCTGGTAGTACCTGATCATCCCGAATATGGCGATTTTTTTTAAAAGACGGGACTATCACAAGAAACGGGTTTCTAACGGATATCTTCCGTCAACGTCGGTTTACTGTCTAGTCACTGTCTGATCTCTGTCGGATCGCATTCGGCAGAATCGGGACGCTGTTGGGACATCTTCGGTCGTTTTTTTTTTGCCATGTGAAAGATAAAAATCGAATTAGAATCGGATTGAGAACGGGATGATCGGGACAAATTCGGCTGAATTTGGACGCTTCCTGAACAATATCTGATTTTTGTCGTGATTAGATAAAATTAATGTTTTCACAAATTCTAATTAAAGTGTAAATTTCCAGCCGCGATTCATCGGATCTTGATCAGACTTTTGACAAATTTTAATCGGGAATGGACCTATCAAGGACGGCAGTAAAAATCGGGAATGTGTGACCCCGGCTTAACTTCATAAAAAGTGTCAGTGTAACACCCGTTATTGTACTGTTTTTCTACAGCTAAGCTGGTGGCAAAGTCGTACAAAACCAAATTGGCAACAACACACGGATTAAATAATCTGTAATTTTGCTTTTTCATAAGGAGGTCATTATGTTATGCCTTGAAGCACATTTCATTGAAACTTGGTTTCGTCCTGGTTGTTTCTTCAAAAGAATGACCTGTCGTTCGGAAAGGAAATAACTCCGTATAGGTATATAATTATTTATAAAACAGAGTTAGGGAGCTACCATTTGATTTTTATGGGGGCTAGGATGAAAAATTTTGTCCTGCATTTTTTTTTAGTTGTAATGTCTGTCCTGCCTTTTTATTTTTCACTCTATTCGGTCCTGTCTTTTTTTTAAAGTTTATCCTGACTTTTTTTTGCCTAAATTGTCATTCTAACTTTTTTGTTTGCAAGTGTCTCATCCTGCCTTTTTTTTTACTCAAAACTCCTGTCCTGCCTATTTTTTCAAATTTCATCCTAGCCCCCCCCCTCCCCACCCCATAAAAATCAAATGGTAGCTCCCTTAAGCATATCTATAAATGGTCCTACACAAAAGTCTTGACGTCAATAAATAGACTGGAAATTAATGGTAATCAGACTCGGGATAATAATTCTCCGTCCCGTTAGACATTTACCTTTAGTTAAAAGATTCAACACTTAATTTAAACTTCAACGTGCGGTGCGTCAGGGAAAAATACACTACACCCTTTTAATGACACCCAGCTGCCAAATTTTAATTGATTCGTTTACAGTTCTCTGTGCACTTGCATTACTATTGAAAGTGTCTTTCAAATATTATCTAGGATTTAAAATACCTTTAACAATTTAGTGTTTGAGGAAGGTTGAATATCTGTGTTAAATTTAGATTTTCGTTATGATTAATAACCTATCTTTGTTGTTATGCCTGTATTTCACAATTCTGCTTATCATTTAAAGTTTTAAAAATATGATTACATAATTTAACTGAGGTCTTTTTAAAGTAAATTGCTTAACTCACAGGCACTTCGGTCATTGAACGCTCCTTCTTTTCTTTTTAAAATTTCTTTTGGTGTTTAAATTTGTTTTTCATCAGCTATAATTTCTTAACTTTTTTTTATTGCTTTTAGTAAATTTGTTCATGTGTTCTTGCTCCTATTCCTACGATCTTATAATGACAGTAAGATCGTATGAATAGGAACAAGAACACATCAATTTAATTATATTATTTCTCTACTTCAGTCCAATATTTCGCCTTTTCGGTAGATTTCGGTATATTTTTACTTCTCTTTAGTCCAATATTTCTTCTTTTCGGTAGATTTCGGTATATTATAACTCCACTCCAGTCCAATATTTCTTAGTTTCGATAGATTTCGGTACATTATGACTCCATTTCGGTACATTATTTCTCCACTTCAGTCCAATATTTCTCCGTTTCGATAGATTTCGGTATACTATTTCTCAATTTAGACTATCTGGTTTATTACTGCGTTATCGTGTACACATATTTATTAAAAAATCGCATATAATTTTTAAGGTGTGTTCTACATGCATGTTTGATACGTTTCGTCTCTGGATATTGCAAATGCAAATCTATTTATGATATCCCCGCCAAAAATTGATAGGGAGCATTACGTTTTCTGGTTCGTCTGTCCGTCCGTTTTGGTTTAAGGGATAGTTTATACCTAAGTTGGTCAACTTGAAACTTAATGCACATCTTCATTATCATGATATGTACTTTTTACCATATATACCAAATTAGGGTTTGGGCTTAGAATGTTTGGTTCACGGAACGTTGCAATATAGAAATGAGAGCGAAGAATTATTTCCTATGAACACTGATTCTTGTTATTTGTTTAATTGCTGAAATTGTTTCAATGCACTTCTTAAAGGACATTTACATTAAATGTATATTAACTTTTTTCAATAAATATCACCAATCAACACCAAATTTTTCCAATATCCCCCATACAAAATGCCGTAAAAACACGACAATATACGACAAACCCTGACGAGGTTCATGACTTTAGATATGCATAAAAAATGTGTTGCGGAGATAAAGGTTCTCTGTTGAATAGTTGTCTCATTGGCAATCATACCACATCTTCTTATTTTTAAATTAGCCCGTTCTCGTCGTTCTTTATATTTTGTTTTAACCTGTATTATATATAATTGTATACCCCTTATCAGTTACAAGGACCGTTTTCTCACAGGTATACATTTAGAAAGCTTCTAAAAGTGAACAATGTATCTACTTCTGAACTATTCAGTTCTCATACAAGCCGGTTTCGATGTTTAAATTTACTTGTTGAGCGTCGATTATATTAGATTGTAATATTAGATTTGAAGTTTCTGTAACCTTAGACTTTTTTATTATGATAATTCAATGAGATGGGGACATCCAGGTATAATTTAAACAAATGGTATTTTCAAGATGAATTGGTCTGATAATAAAAACCTTGAACCCATCGTTCGCCTGAAGAACAAAAGATAGGTGAAAAACAAAAACTGTCAAAAAAAGTACGCGAATAAGGTGTTTATTCAAACGAAACCAATTCTCCATTTTTTACACAAAAGAGAGAAATATGGGTTAAAAACTAAGTTGTTTATTGAGAACTGAATAATTTAAAATGTTTTGTAAGCAGTTTTTAAATGTATTTCGAAATTATTTTAGTTATTTTGAAAAATGTAAATTAGGGTGAATGTTTCGTGAATTTGATTAGTCAATTTGAGCACAGGACTCTTGTATAAATACCAGTTTTCTTTACTCTTAACTTATTACCAGTCTGAGTGGTGTTCAGATAACAGATACATAACGTAAGGTTTGTTTTTTGCCAAATTAATGTAAATTCAGAAATTATTGCGATGTTTTTATTATTGCGAACAATGCGACAGGGTTATAATCGCCATAATTTAAACTCGCATTTTGAAATTTTGTATATGAATTATACAGGATTTTTCGCAATATCGCAAAAATTAAAATCTCATTTTAGTTTAAATGACAAAATTGCAATAATGAATGCACGCAATAATTTCTGAATTTACAGTAATTAATCTTTTTATTTACTTGAATTTTCGTATTATTTTTACTCCTTACATGTTTCAAGTTGAAATAGTCGATATATTTAACATTGTATTGTCATTATTGTGATTTTGAGATATACTGTGTAAAAAAGATTTATCTACATGTGTTTTGATTTAAACTCTTATAATTTAAAATTTTGAAAGTTTTAATTATTAATATTATTTTGTCCGGTAAAGAAGGCTTATATGGTTCGTGTATTGTTTTTTTTTCTAATAGTTTTATATGAGATAGATTTAATTAATGTTCATTAATAAAAAGAGATTCGGTGTACAAATACACCAATGAGACGGACACATTCAATATTTGGAAATTATTATATATATAAATACATAATAATAAAAATAAGAAACTGTGGTATGATTGCCAATGAGACAACTCCCCACCAGAGACCAAATGATATAGAAATTAACAACTGTAGGTCACCGTACGGCCTTTAACAATGAGCAAAACCCATACCGCAATTCAGCTATAAAGTTTGTATTACAGTGCATATCTTAAAAAAGAAAACATAATAAATGTCCTAACATTATGTTCCCCCAATTGACGCTTAATTTAAAGAAATGTTCTTTTCTGTAATTTAAAAAGATGAAAAGACATCTTCCACCGTATTAGAAATACAGTGCAAATGTACACAACAACTGTGACATAAAAACACTTTTTCTTCTGTTTCATTTGAGAGAGAAAAAAAATGTCTTGTGAAATTCATTCGATTTGTCATTTTGTGCAACGTTTATATAAGCCCCAGTAGGTTCCCTTCAACAGAATAAAACCAAAAGTGTTTTTATTAGAAAATAAAAAAATATACAAATATACTATACATTTATTTCCCAATAACTATTTATCACCCAAGAAAATCAAGTTTCCCGAGGGCATCGCCCGAGGAAAATATGACTTTTCGAGGGTGAACAAATCTTCATATCTCCCTAAGCCAAGGGAAATGAGTGTTTTATTCCACTGCCTATACTTTTTATAACTCCATGAACATAAAATATTAATTTCTATACAGTTTTTATATCCGCTTTTAAAACTAAACATTAATAAGCAAAACCAATCAAAAGTTAATAATTTATTTATGACAAGTACATTTTTTCTCTATTTTGTTTTACATCTGACATATTCTTGAATACAATAATGACTATATTATTGCTATTTAAAAAAAAAATTTCAAAACGTAATGTATATTACGTCACTTACAATAACCGCTGAGACTAAGCAGCCCAAGGGGCATAGCACAAACAGACTGAAAATTGATTGACGCTTGCTTAAGGATGTTCGCTCCTCTTGTTTTCGAATTTTTGCCATATATTTGGAATCCTCTGGTTTTATCCATGTAGTGCCATTAAAACATTTTTGACCACTAACCCCTACTTTTCTTTTCATAATTTGAATAAATATAGTTTAAAATGCCATCCTTGAAAATCTTATTAAATCCTTGTTATTTTTTCATACTTTTAGACAGAAAAAAGGTACCAATGTTAATTGTATGAAAAATATAGAGAGAATCATTTCCCGCCAAATTTTCAATGGCTTATATCCCGAAAACAAGCACAAGGACCCTTCATTTTTCTACCTTTTTAGTTCCTTTATTTATATACTCTCAATTTATAACAGTCTTTTAAAAAGTTTATTATTTTGAAACAGAGTAGCGAACATCCTTAATACAAATTGCAATTATTTCATGCATATAAAACCAACATGATTATACGTCACCACCCGAGTAACCTTTAAGCGTCATTATCGAAACCTTTCAACAAGAACTGAGCTGCGTCGGATAGAAATCGACTGTATACAATTGTATATTAATACATCTGTTATCCTACTTCGGGTTGAAAACGTCTATATGCAAAGTCTGTCACTGTTTGAAAATTGAGTTGATATATAAAGAACCCTACAAAACCGAACAAAATTCATCTTTTATTCCGTATTTGAATGTTCCAAAAATAAATCAAAGTCTTATACATGTTTATGTAATAGAAAAATAAAGGATATGGGGTATCCATTCATGACACAAAATCAGTACTTGCGCAGCATAAATACACATAATAAGCAAAGGAACAGCGTATGTGTATATGTGCACTTGCATAAGGTCGATTTCTATACGACGCAGCTCATTACTAATATTTCGAGACTATTAATTTGATCTTTACTTATTTGTAAACTTCATATGTTTGATATGTCTCGATTTAATATATTCCCAAAAAATCTGCATATTTAACAAATCGCCTGCCACATTTCAGGAAACAAATTTTAGGTTTATCATGAATAATTTGCAATCTAATGAAATACATGTTATTTTTCAGGATGAAATTTGCGTTGATCGTTTTCTTTGTCAGCGTTTACAGCTGTGCCCATGCAAGTCCTGGGTCGGATTTTCTAGGAGTTCTTGCTTGGACAAATGACGTTGATCTTGAGACAGTTCACACTGGCGAAGAGGCATGTCAAGTCAAAGAAGGTACAGCTTTCAGCTATGAGGATTGCATAAACGCTATTGTTGATAATGTTTGTTCCGGAAACTGTAACGGAAGAGCTCGGGATGTTGTTTCATCTGTTATCTGGTATGAAGTGATCCAAAAATCGGCTTTTGAATTTTGTGCAGAAGCAGAAGATTACTGGGGTTGCGTATGGCTGTTATCTGAACCAACAAAATGCCAGGAGAAACGATCTTTTAATATCAAAAAGTCTGCTGAATCAGGATACGATCTTCCAAAGCTGCCACCAAAACCTAGTGAGAAAAGGAGCTTGAATTTCGGAAACTTGAAAAATGTTCTTAAATCAAACAATGGTGGACGTAGTCTTTTGAAGAAAATGCTGACTATCAAGAAATAACTTTTGTAAGAATATGGTGGAGCCTAACGACTAATGAACTGTGACACGGACACGGACACGGACAATGATTATAGTGATTGTAATAATACTTTTGGGGACATTGGACGGGACTAAAAAAACAAATAGGGGTTACTTTTCATTACTGTATGTGATTTGAAATTAAAAAAAAAATTTGTTTTAAAGGCATTTGTTTTAATAAAGATTTTGTTAGATAAGTTGTAGGAACATGTATATTTAGTTGCATACGAAGAAAAAACAACAACAAACACACGAATTTATCAAAATAGTCATAAAAAACGTGTAAAAACGAATTAAAGAGATTTGTTGTCCATATGCGATGTGTACAGTCTGTACCTTAACCTTGAGTAGCATTTAACATTTGGAGACGGTATATATGTATTCACTGATACTCAAGGTCAAGGTTAACACTGTTAGTTTCGTATTGGCTGCATGCAAAAAAATCGATTTCATACAGATTTCTTCTGGTACTATGCCATGTATTTTTGTTCTCTTTGGATTTTTGTTAGATATCACGTTAAAACCCGACTCTGCTTGTTCGTCTTGTACACAGCAGAGTATATTCATGTTTCATTTATAGCTAGGTTGTTGTAGTACTAAATATGAGTATATGTTGGCCTCTCGACATTATCCATATCCATTCACTATCATCATTGTGTTTTGCTAAATTAGCACAATTATAATTGAACATGACATTTAATCCCACTATTTTCTTCGGAAAATGCGTGTACAACGTCAGTCGTCATTCTGTTGATAGATATACTAGTAGTCGAGCATTCGGGTTTGTCAGTTTTTATGAACTGTCCCTTTTTGAATTTACCTTGGAGTTCGGTATTTTTGTTATTATTTTTGTTTTTGTACTACAAAGCAATATTGATTGATTGATTGGTTGTTGTTTGCTTTATGTCCAGTGGCAAATATTTCATATAAAAAATAAGAAGATATGGTATGATTGCTAATGGAACAATTTCCGTCAGAGACCAAATGACGTAAAAGTATCACATATAGACCACTGTACGACCTTCAACAAAGAGCAGAACAAATACCGCTTAGCAATCTATAAAAGACCCCAACATGACAAATGTAAAACATTTATGTACAAAATAATAAACGAAACAAATAGGGTTAACAGTGTGTCTTTCTATGTTGTGATTTTACACTATTGTTTCAGGTAGGATGAAGGTTGGCGCCTATTAAAACGTTTTAACCCGCTGCTTTTGTTTGCACCTGTCCTAAGTCAGGAACCTGATGTTCAGTGGTTGTATGTCGTTTGTTGGTGTAGTTCATATATGTTTCTCGTTTTTTATATAGATTAGACAGTTGGTTTTCCTGTTTGAATGGTTTTACACTAGTCATTTTTGGGGGCCTTTATAGCTTGCTGTTCGGTGTGAGCCTAGGCTCCGTGTTGATGGCCGTACTTTGACCTACAAATGTATAATGGTTTACTTTTACAAATTGTGACTTGGATGGAGAGTTGCCTCATTGGCACTCACCCCACATCTTCTTATTTCTATTAACAGAAACAAACGACAACCACTGAATTACAGGCTCCTGACTGATGACAGGCATTTAAAGGAAAAATAACTGGCAGAATTGACATGGGTCCCTTTAATACTCTATTATAATTTTGTGACTGACACAAAATTCCAGAACAGAATCATGTTGCAGGACTCAGAGCAGCCTATACACATAGTTACTAACAGCTACGTCATTTGGTCTCTGGTGGAGAGCTGTCTCATTAGCAATCATACTTTTATATAAAATGTCGTATAATCAATCGCGTCTGTTATGAGTTAGAGAATTGGAAAAGTAATTATCATTGAGACAGCATCCTAACTACACGAAAATAAAAACCACATAAAAAGTTCAGCAGACGGTCTTCAACAGTTACTGTAGATAGGTGGCTTGACAATATCTCGAAGTACGAAGATATACCACTAGTTTAGAACATTTGGAAATAAACAGAATCCAAAGATGTCATATGAAGAAACAAGGTATGTTCAGCAAAATGTAGAGCAAACGTTTAACCAGCAATTGTATGCTGTTGCCAAACAACAAAAACGGTCTATGGCAGTCGTTTTATACTCCCACATTAATAGAATGTGAGGATTTCATGGTCTTTCATCTTTAATATAGCAACAGTTGCTGGTAAGTTATAAACTTCAGCTGGGCTCCATGACTTATGTTTTGACTCTGGAATTTATACTCGAAATACAGTTAACAGATTCTTATTTGCGAACAGTTGAATCGTGGTGTTGCAGAATTAACACTGCCCTGTGAGGCCCTCATGGTTCTTTTATTTAAGAATTTTTCAATTGTTTCAGATACATAAACTGTAAAAAAAAGTATTGCACCAAACGTATGAAAGGCGTTCCTTGACTGTCATAGCTCATGTTTTTGTCTCATCCAAAAGCACTGAAGGCATTGAAGATCTTCATTGGGGGCTAGGATGAAATTTGAAAAAAATAGGCAGGACAGGAGTTTTGAGTAATAAAAAAAAGGCAGGATAAGATTATTTGCAAAATAAAAAGGCAGGATGACAATTTATGTAAAGTCAAGGATAAACTAAAAAAAAAAAGGCAGGACTGAATAGAGTAAAAATAAAAAGGCAGGACCGAATAGAGGGAAAAATAAAAAGGCAGGACAAAATGTTTCATCCTAGCCCCCCCCCCCCCCCCCCCCTAAAAATCAAATGGTAGCTCCCTTAGTTTATGTAAAGTGTTTTGTAGACTGTTGTTTCCTTTTTGTAGTTTTCCAAGTTGAACGTAGTCGGTATAGTTTCAAAATGGTCCGCCATTGATCTAAAGATGTTAAATTATGGTAGCGGCGTGGGCGTTGTCGCTGATTTGTTCTCTGATTGGACGAATATGTCATTTTTGATGTTCGAACATACGTTTGTTTTTAATATTATCTGATGAACAGCAGGTGATAGTTTTGAAATAGATATCTGAGATAAAAACTATTTAACAATAATAGTACAATAAAAATAATATAATTGAAAAAAAGGCTTTTTACTACAATAGCAATCATTTACTAGTGGAAAATTTCGAAACAATACTAGAACGCATCCATCCATGCTGTATTTTTTGCGGGGTTTTACAGAAAGTTAATATTCAGACCATTCACAAAGATATGCACACGCTACATAAAAATAGACTTATTATCGGACGGAAAATCTCACATCTTGGAGATGAAAACAGTCAGATAAAAATGAGGTATTGAAATGGTCATTATCCAATGCAAACATTTTCGGGGCCTTTTATAACTGACTATGCGGTATGGGATATGCTCATTGTTGAAAATTGTGACCTTTAACCGTTAACTTCTATGTCATTTGGTCTCTGGTGAAGAGTTGTCTCACTGGCAATTACATCACATCTTTTTATTTTTATGTTTTCAGTTCACTTCTATCACGCGCTTTAATAAACTATGTAAGTCTAATAATACAGACCAAATATTATTAAATCCAATAGATGTTGGATGTGTACTGATTGATAATTTAGTCTTAGATGCATGATTTTTTAATTAGTTGTTATTGGCTTTGAACTAGCTGCCAGCAACTGCGAGCACTCTCAGATCTTTACTTAGTGTTTATTTTGTTGTGGGGATGTATAAGTACCCTGCCACGTCCGGTCTGTGTTTTGTTAGATGTATATCTGCTTTGTATCGATCTGATGAGTTAAGCCCTTTTCAGCTGATTTTTATAGTTTGTTCTTATGTCATTTTTATAGTTTGTGTTTATGTCGTTCTGTTACAACACTGTCCCAGTTAAGGGGGAGAGTTGGCGCATTCAAAATAGTTTAACCCCGCCACTTTCTGTATGTGCCTGTCCCAAGTCAATTTCGGTGGTTGTCGTTTGTTCATTATATTATACATAAATCAGGCAGTTAGTTTTCTCTTTAGAATGGTTTTACATTTGTCATTTCGGGGCCTTTTAAAGCGGACTATGCGGTATGGGTTTTGCTCATTGTTGAAAACCGTACGATGATTAATAGGTGTTAACTTCTATGTCATTTTGGCTCTAGTGGGGAGATGTCTCATTGGCAATCATACAAATGTACCACATCTTCTTATTTCTTTATTTTTCTAACGAAAGCCTATTAGGGTCACACACAAAAAATAAATATTGATCTCGTAATTACGAGATAAATACATCGTAATTACGAGAAAACTATCGCGTAATTACGAGATAATCATTTTTAACTCGTTATTACGAGATAATTATCGCGTAATTACGAGAAAACTATCGCGTTATTACGAGAAAACTATCGCGTAATTACGAGATAAAATAAACTGCTTCGCTGAGCGCAGCTGGATACGCCCGCAGAGGTCCAACCCTGAACAGTTGGGGCAATAATGGACACAAAATTCAAGCTTGATACAGGTCTGAATTTGGATTGTAATTAAATATTTGACATATTATAGGTTTCTGAATAAATGTAGTCAAAGAACTTGAAATTGGTTATATGAATTGAATTTATATTCAATTAAAGATTTCTTGCTGTTGTGCAATACACTGTGCTGTTGCTCAATACTTAGTAAATCTGTTGTCAGACTATAAACAAATAAAGTTCAATTAATTCTCAATGTCATATTAGAAATTTATGAAAATGTAAAGTGAGCTTACATCATGTTTGAGTTATTGTCCGAAAACTGGAAAATCACCCCTTTTTTAATGAATAAAACCCAATAACTCAGAAATGATAAATGAAAAATTATAAAATTCTAAACAGAGCTTACATCAATAGATATAAGCAATTCACCAAAGTTTTATAAGGTCTGCTGAAAGCATTTTTTATTTTTTGTCCGAAAACTGGAAAATTCCCCTTTTTATGAATAAAACCCTGTAACTTGGAAACGTAAAATCTAAAATATATAAAAATCCAAAGGGAGCCCACGTCAATAGACATAACCAATTCACCAAAGTTTTATGCAAATTAGTTAAAGCGTTTTTGAGTTAATGTCAGACATGTTGACGACGAACGGACAGACGGACAGACGGACAACGGTTTACCATAATACGTCCCGTAAACGGGCGTATAAAAAAATAATTATCTCGAAATTACGAGATTAAAAAATGATTATCTCGTAATTACGCGATAGTTTTCTCTTAATTACGCGATGATTATCTCGTAATTACGAGATAAAAAAAATGATTATCTCGCAATTACGCGATAGTTTTCTCGTAATAACGCGA